CTTTTTCCACCAGGCAGCTTTCCAGCCACAATCTAGGTATAGTATCTCTGTAAAGAATGTTGAAACCTATAAAAAATGCAATGGTGTTTGTGTTGGCAAATCTAAGCACTTAACTGGTTAATGTTGTTGATCCCAATTCACTGTATCAGCTTGTATATCATGGACTTTGACAACTCACAGCAAAAATCCTGTTAATTTGAGATCACAAAACCCAGAGTAATACTCTGAGTAGTCAAGTAACTGGTCTTTCAGTTCATTTCCTATTGTATGTATTGTATTTATCTAAGTGAATCTCAGGCTTCCCATCATCCCAAACTACTAATGCTACAGAATATCCAAATTGATTCTGAAAGAATCTTTTATTTAGCAAGTTGTTATGTAAGTTTTTGTAATTAACTGAAGCTAAAGAGATGTAGGATCATTATTTTTGCCTTTTTAGTTCTTACAGCTATCCCTTCTTTTAATAAAAAAGTTCTTACGCCTACTGGGTTTGCTATTCAGAGATACAAAAGCTTTGCTGGTATTAAGGATGAGAGGACACTACAAATATGTATGCATAAAGGGGAGCATTGTACAGTACCTAATATACTAAATCAAACAGTGTAGAGATTCACTTTTTTTAAGTGAAGGTACCTGTAACCAGAAAAAATATTTCCATATTAAGTGCTGATATTTTACATAGTTACTCTTATTTACTGTTACCAATAATTTACAATATTGCTATTAATATTTTTAAAACTGAAATTGATAGTCTAACTCACACATTAATTTTGTTTTCACTACAGCAGGGTCCCAGTTAAAACAACAGGCAAATTAGCCCAGTAATGCATAAAAGTTAATCCAATAAAGGTTCAACTGAGACCTTGGTGTTCTAGATCCTTTACATAAGTATGGTAAGAAACAGTCATTCCCCCAAAAGGCTTCCAGTCTATGCAGGTAAAAGATGATGGGAGAGAGATTTCAGTTCAGGGGTGTAAAATGAGCACTCTGAAAAGCTAAGTGAGGTAACAGGGGAGTCACGCTCAGTGTGAGCGTGCACAAACTCAGTCTCTTTCTTCCTTACCTCTGAGGGTGATGAGTATGATGTGCTAGAAAAGATTTCTTGTGTGCAGACTCTAAGTTGAAAAAATGAGTTTTGCTTTCGGTTCTGAATATGGATATTCATTCAGTGCAATAATGCAGGTCAGTTCTGAGGATGCTTTGTGTTTGAGTGTTTCCCATTGCTTGCCAATTTCGTGCTTTCAGTAGGAAGTAACAGCCCTAGAAAGGTGAGTGCTTTGCTGGGGAGCTAAGCCCTAACTCTTTACTCCGGAGAATTTTAGTGCAGAAAGCAAAGGAGATATTGGGAGTGGGCTGAAGGGGTGTCTAATAAGAAGAAAAATTGTTAGTTGTATTATGTTTCTCCAGTTAAGTTCCCAGTGTCATGAGTGAACTGTCAGTAACAAGCAGTATGTGTGTGTAATTTCAGTGGAACACAGGCCTCCATTACCATCTTGAAGAAGGAATTAATCTAATACTTAATGGAAACTGTTTCATCATATTGCATTTTCACATCTAATCCCTGGCATTTCATACCACATGAATTCCCAAAACTGAGTTTCCATATTCCTCTCAGCTGAGTTGGCAATAACATTCTGTTTGCTGTGAGTGTGATTTGCTTTGGTTTCACAGAGCTGGGAGTTTGGAATCCCGCTGTGCAGAGAACTGGCCATACAGTATGAAAGTCTCTATGATTATCAGAGCCTTAGCTGGATTCGGGTAAGTAGCAGCAGTTCCTCTCCTTGCAGGTTCTCATGTCATTCCCCCGGGAATTTTGCTCTCCTGCCAGAACATTCTGAATTTAAAAAATAATCATATTCCTTATACAACTCCATGCATTTACAGTGACTCCTTTGCCATTGATTCATTTCAGTGACTTTGTAGGTTCACTGAAGTAATTCCTAAGTCTGCTAGCAGTACTCCCATGAGTATATGGAGACAGCAGTCACATAGGACCTGGGCTTGCTATTGCAATTGCGTATTTATATGTATTTTTGCATAAAATATCTTTTTTGTTTCTTTTTTAAAAAAAATTACATATCAATATTTCATTTTAATTCCAAAAATATCAAGGACAGCTTGTGCTTCAGTTGACATAAGAGGAAAAAGAGAGAAGAATGAAGAAGGCAAAAATTTATGGCATTCTTGTCAATTTACAAGAATCTAGTCCTCTGGTAAAACCAAAGATGTGATGAAATCAAGGCACATTTGCAGCATCGTGCTTTAATCAGAGAAAGTCAAAGTTCTGATTGTTATTTAAAAGGTTTATGGATGTGAAATGCTCTTGTCCCCTGGGGTAGCATGCATATATCAAAATTTAAGATTTATGCTATGTGGATGTATTCTTATACACACTGGTTTAAATTCTCTTTACAAGTCAAATTTATTCTCCTGTGAAGATACCTGTCTAACTAGGTCTCATGAACTGCATTTCTGAAGAACCTGTTTTCTTCAAAGTGGCCCTAAAGAAAGCACGAGTGACTGTCTTGGTTGTGCACTTGTTTATTGTAGACATCTAAAATAGAGCAGTGTGAAAACTTATCCTGATGTATGGGAAATACCATATTGGTAAAGTGATCATGAATGATGAGCAAACAAACTTACTAAAGGCATGCATCAAGACTTTCTTTCCTAAAACATTGGTAAATTAGATAGTCTTGCTGCCTCTTTATTATTTGGATTTAATTAGCTGGCAGGTGAAGAGCAGCATCTCAGCTGCTTAGTATAACCAATTCACCTCATCCTTTCACTCACCTGTGCGTGATCTGTTTTCTGTTCAAGTTTTCTAAATTTGTGTTGACCTCAACTGACTCGAATTTCTCCCCACTCTGAAGTTTTTCTCTCTGCCATTCACATCATTCAGTGCATTCCTTTACTCTTCCTGCACTGACTTTAGGACCTTCTCCAAGAGAACAAAACCTTGATGCAATATTCTAAGTCAAAGCTGCTGTTAGGGTTCCCTGCAGTGGAAGCAATGAGGTCAAACTGATTCTTCTATTTAAAAAGCTATCTTTGTGCTATAGTGAAATTCTTACGAGCCTTTCAGCTGAGATTCAGTTTGGCAAGAGGTCTTGAAATCCCACTCTTGATATAAATGCTAGCACAGTGCCACAAAACCAATAACTGGAACTAGAGAAAAGTCCTTTTACTTTTTCCAAACCCCTTTTTTCTTCCATGGTAAACCTACTGGTGCATAGAGCTGTAGAAGATGTAATTTTGTTTCACCCTTTTTCATGCCCCTCAACTCAATTAAGGCAAACCCAACTGAATTGATATAATTTTCCAGACAGTAGTATAGATTTTGAGCTGTAGGAGAGAATAGGACACTATGGGCCAGGCAACATAGATCTAATCTCAGCTTTGCTGTTAATTCTGCAATGCAAAGAAAATTACATGCAAGACCTGTTTAATTTAAAAAGAGATACAACAGAAAAATTTTCCTGTGTCATCTCAAAAAAATGTAAAATGAGTATGATGATACTATAGTCTGTTCCATCATGTGGACTGTTTAATTAATAATTTTTATCTGCAAAAGAATTTCGGTCTTTTCATAAAAAATTGTGGGGGCAAAAGAAGTAATGTGATATTTAAATGTGTCTTGAGATTCTGATGTTTTAAGTGCAGCTTTAAGGGTCTGACAGCAGCTGTCTTTTTCCTCCATAGAAAATGGAAGCCACCTATTATGATAACATCATGGAACAGCAGCGCTTAGAACCTGAGTTTTTCAGAGTTGGTTTTTATGGTCGGAAATTCCCATTTTTCCTGCGGGTAAGCCAGACTTACACAAAATATGACAAAGTGACCAGGCTCAGAGTAGCAGTTAAGGCTTTGTATTTTTGTCATGGAGATATGATGTCTGCCATTCAGCTTATTTTTTTTTACATCTGCATAAGTAGAAACAGCTTTCTGGATGAACTGAAGGATGTAGTCCATTGGGAATGTTCTTAGGAACAGAGATCAGAAATTTGACTCATGCCTATGTGTATTTTTGACGATCTGCAGATGCAGCACAAATTGCCTCTATATTAAGCAAAACGCTGTATAGCAGCAACATTGGGTCATTACTCCACTAATTTTCATCATCTCAAATTATCACGCTTTAAAAAGTCTCACATGACAGAATGATTTTAATACCAGACTGATGACTCTCTTGTGCTATCTACGAGCGAAAATTTCCCCTCTCTTCAACAAAAAGCCTAGCAGTTTCTCCGGACACGTCCTTACTTTGAGTTTATTGTCTGCTGGTGTATACAGGATCAGCTGGGTCTGCAATCCGTTTGAAAAGTGAATTACCTTCTTTTCCTAATGAGGAATCAAACTTAAAGTGGATATTTGTTCATAGGATGTCTTGCTGCTAATTCAGAGCAAAGAAGGAATATAATCTGACAACTGCTGTAAGAGCTGTCTGAAAATTGATGGTGGATGCCATCTAGCTTGACAGGACAAGCTAACTTGAAGCATGGTTTCAAGGACTGGAGGTGCATGTTTTTTGTTCTCCTTAAAGAAACAGTTTGACGAGAGATGGTACCACTCTTGAGTTCTACAGTAAGAAGCTACAAAAAGCCAAACTGTGGACCATTTTTAAAATTGCACTCTTGAATTTCCCTCTGACTACTAAGTTTTTTGGTTTTAACTAGGATTTAAACATTGGTGTTTAATTACAGTCTTTTAATGGAAACACGGGTGGGGGAAGTAAAGGCAAATTGGAATTAATCAAGGTGAAAATACCAGCGGATAAAGGGTGGCTTCATGTTAATTCAAAGGTGAAGTTGAACAGCACCATAATGTAGCAGCCTGAATCAGTGGGTAGAACACACCTGCAAAGGAATCTGAGGAAATGACAAGTGTTGCAGTATGAAGCAATAGGTACCCTTTTGTGAAGATCTCCAGAGAAAGCTGACCTAACAACAGATGTTTCAGAAAATGAATGACAACAAAGTCATTATGGCACATAAGCATTCCTACATTTGAAGTAATATCAGGGAAATCTAGCTTCTCTTACTGTATTGTGGATCCTACAGTTTTATCTTGGATCCTGCATGGCCTATGTGTTTAATACTGCACGAGTTTTCAGTGCACAGCACTTACTCTTTGCAAAACGGTGTAACAATATGGATACTTGGCTGGAGACATTAACAGTGAACATGAGCGTACATAATTATAATCCTTGTTAATTCTGCAATTATATTTGGTAGCAGTACTTCTGATAGCAGATTACTAATGTAGCAATCTCATTAAAAGTCATCCTCCTCTTTTCTCTCTCTAATGATCCATACAGCATACACATTGCGAAGCACAGACTAAGCCCATTAGCAATCACATCAGCATGGATCACACTGTAAAGAGATTGGAAGCAGCTATTCTAGAGAAGAAAAAGATTTACATGGATTTTAAATTTTCAAATGGATATGGGAGTGATTTAAAGTGATCAAATAAATGAGAAAAGGACATGGAGTTATTTTTCTATTGCTGTATAGCTTAAGAGAAAATAACCACTTCTTTCTACATCTTTGATTTTGAAAGCCCTTTGTCTAGAAAAGTCATTTTTCCTGTTTCTATGAATTCTGCATCTATTTCAAGCCTTCCTGGATAAGGAAATTAAAACTGTCCATGTCTTCCACCTACCAGAAGTTCAAGTAAGGCCTGACAAGCCACAGTCTGAGATCTTGTGTCGACATCTGTCTGAAAAGTCTATTAAATTTAGCTTTGAGGTGTTTTGAGGGCATTATTTTTAGAATCACAATAACTTTATTTATAGGCTTACAGTTTTCTGGATTGCTGCAATCAAAAGCTAAAATAGAGAATGCAGTAAGTGTCATGAAGACATTCACCTTCAAACATGGACTCACTCCAAATTTAATAATAGCTGCAAAGTTTGGGCATTACAGACTGAACTGTCAGGATCCATCATGCAGTTTTTCTCCCAGTTCATTGGTTGCTGTGACGGATGCATACAAAGTGACATATGTCACAGCTGGAACATGAGATCTGTTCCATAAAATTGAAATGCAAAGCCAAAGATAACTGCACTCCTTGGCCGTGTTTTATGATTGGGTTTTGTTGCTTTCTCTGATTTTGCTACAAGATCAAGAATGGCTTGGCCAGAACCCTTTTAACAAAACATTACTGAATATACTGCAGCTTCTAAATGCAAGAAATAGAAGGGGCGGGGGGGGAACTGTTCTTGTTTGCCAGGATTCTTTCTTTGTTTTATGTTTTTGCTAGGATTCTTTCATTGGTTTATGTTTCCTGTACTTCTAGTTATTGTTATGTGTATGAGAGTTAAAACTACCAGAATTACAGAATTTGCCTGCTTTGGTTGGTCTTGCACCAGGAGACATTAACACCAATCAAAATTGTGTTTTGTGGTAATAGAGTTAAGACAATGGAATACAATCTTTATGACACTGAGGACTTTAGAAATCCTGTTAGCTTGCTGTTCAAAGTTTGAGATGGCTCAAAAAGCATCCAAGAACTCTCCGCAAGTGGTTTAATGCCTCAAGAGGCATATCTAAATGCAAGCTTTCCATTACTCCAGAAACAAAATTTTGTTCATCAAGAGGAAAGTGCTTTCAGGGCTGAAGGGGAATTTGCTAAGTGGCCACTGAGAATACTTGGTAAGGCTTTTCCATATTACTGCACGGTAGACAGGGGAGTTCCTGAAGATGTATTGTTCAGCATGATCAGAGGTGGATTGTACAGCTATGACAATACAGCAATGATTAAACAATTATTTTTGTGAACATTTTGTAATGACTTCTCTCTAAGGATAACTGACAAATTGATAAACATATAGCTCCCTCTGTTGTATGAAATCCTCAGGACTTCTATCCATCTGGTGTAAATTGTATTTGACAGCAGCTTTCCCAGCAGAGCTGGTGACTTAGTCTTAAGTTTTGGATGATATGTTTCAATATAGTCCAATTACAAAATAGTCCCTTTTCAGTTGTCTGAAAAGCAAATAAGAAAAGACGATAGAACCGAATGCTACGTGTGTATGGGTCAGAGGCATCTTTCTGTTGAGATCAGTGGAATAGTCTACTTATGCATCATGTCTTGATGAAATACACTGTAAAGAAAACGGAAGGAATAAAATATCTCGGCTGTGTTAAATGAACATTTTACTTTCACGTTAGCATATTGACATTGTAATTTATCTTTGGTTTTGAAGCAGTAAAATTTAAAGTGAGATAAAAGTCAATAGAATTGAACTTACTTTTAAGGAGACTAATTTATGCTTGTCCTTGCAGAACAAAGAATATGTATGTCGGGGCCACGACTACGAGAGGCTGGAAGCCTTTCAGCAGAGGATGCTAAGCGAGTTCCCACAAGCCATTGCAATGCAGCATCCAAACCACCCAGATGACTCTATATTGCAGTGTGATGCCCAGTGTATCCTTCAATGAAAGGGCAAGCTATGATTAGAAGCACTGTGATAGAGCACAGAGGAGGAAGGTATTGAAAAGGTCATCAACTTGGATACCTCAGTTCCAAAGTGTCTTAGGTAGAGATGGATATGGACAAAACCATACCCCTGTCTACAGTAGACATTAACTGGGTCATTGTGCTACGTATTGTTGGAGAGAACGGTCACTTTTTATTCAGGGAGTAATGCAGGTCATATTCAATGTGTAAGGGAAATAGCTGTGCTTGGCCACATCTGCTTGGTCGCATCTGTCTTTTAGCCTTTACCAACAGCATTGCTGTAATGCACGTTTTGTGTCATTAAAAGTATTCCTTATACCTTCTCTTGGAGAATATTTTGTTTTGGCACAGATATTAATTCCAAAGTGTTATTTTCCATTGCTTTTATTTTTCACATCAGTATTATTTTTTTGTAGTCTCCGTTTCTTTTAAACTGCTGAATTATACCTAAGGCTTTGAATCTCATTCTTCTCATTGGTAATCTGTACTGTGATTTGATGCAACCAATACAATTCTATATACATTTAAGGACTGAACCACATAACATTTAATGGGTCTGCAGAGACTTTTGGAGAGTTTAGTCATGAGAACACCGCTGTTTGGCTTGTGTGACAACAGCAAGGACAGTGCACAGGACTTTAACCATAAGGACATTGTCAGCAAGTGAAATCTCCTGAAATGAGTTGCTGTTTCCCACTTGTCTTTCATAACGTGTGCTTTTCACTCGTTTGCTATAGAACACTGATACTTTCATAGACAGAGGGGTTGTTTGTGTGTGTATTTTGGTTGGTTTGTTTATGCTTGCAGAGATTTTGTCTGTAGCACTGAGGTTAAACTAGTTTAATTAAACTGGACTGTAAATTGATTAAATTAGGACAACATTGGTTTGCACACAAAGCTGAAGTATCTAAGGCAAAATTTATTGAAGAGAAATATTAGATATTTAGGTACCTATATGCATCAAGATCTACTAAAGTTCCTGCACAAATGAGGCACCTAGCTCTAAAACTAATAGGAAAGGGGTATTTTGCCTGCTGTAGGTATTTTGGATGTCTTACTGCATACTCTCTGCATCCTCAGGTATCTTCCTCTTTGGTTAATCTGGCTGTGAGGTACTGTAACTCTGTAGACTCTCCTGGTAGTTCTAGTCTAGTGTTCTGTTGTTTCACTTGCAAAAGAAGAATGAAACAAAAGAGGAGCGTGACTTTCTGAATTCACCATCCTGTTTCTTTCCACAGCAGAGATAGCTTTTCTCTTTGATGTCCTGTGGCTTTCTTTGACTACATAATCTACAGATTTACAGATATACGCAGTGACTCCCATCCCAGACAATATAGATGTGCTGCAAATGGACCGTGTCCCTGATCGCATAAAGAGCTTTTACCGAGTCAACAACATCCGGAAATTCCGCTATGACAGGCCCTTCCACAAAGGCCCAAAAGACAAAGAGAATGAATTTAAGGTAGAAGTAGTGAATAAGCCATGTTTAAGTGTTAATCTCTTCAAGGAGAATACTGTCTTGTTATTTTATGCTGATACAGTCTTCCAAGTAACCCTGATTTGATGGCCAAAGATACTATAGTAACTCAAATAACAAGCAGCTGTTGAGTCCAATGGTTACACACCTGACCTGGTTAAAGCATTGTCCAGTTTAAAGGTGAGTTATTTTAGTGCGAGGACAAATGCATTTTGAAGCATGGGGTTCTTTTGTTTGGCTGGATTTTTTTCTTACTGCCATATATGTCCACAATGTCATCTTGGTTCCCATGACAGAATTGGTGGTCAAACTTTAAAAATCCTAAGAAATGTTTACAGCATACTGAATTCTGGTTTTGTTGTTCAAGTGACTTTCAGCATGACGTTCTGCAAAGTAAGTTAATGCTCAGGAGGCTAATATTTTCTTTTCTGAACTTTACCCCCTTAGCATCTGTGGTAGGAGTACAGATGATGTGATTGTGATTCACTGTGCACCTCACATCCTCAATTACTCTTTGCAGAGCTTGTGGATTGAACGTACCACTCTGACCTTGACTCACAGTTTGCCTGGGATCTCTCGCTGGTTTGAAGTGGAGAGAAGAGAACTGGTAACATTCATAGTTCCTGTAACTGGGGTTTGAAATTATGAGTTACTGAGGGCATGGGATAGGCAACTTAAAACTCATTTGGCTGAAATCTTGCAGTTTAAAATTATGAAGTTTACCGATGATTAAGTATGTCCTTTTTCCACCACCTAGTCTATATAATTGCTGAATGTAACCAGGGGAATTATGTGAGGGAACATGACAGTATAATGGAGACAGCGCCAAAAGGACGGAATAATTGCATTGTTGCCATGTCTTCAGTATACAGAAAGAAGTTATCACAACTCGGTGACCTGAAATACAACATTGCCAACAGTAAAGTTTGTTAATGTAGCTAATTTTCTACAAAGCAGTAAAAAGTAAGAGAGATCACTGAACAGTCCTAGAGTATCATTTCATTACAAGGAAGATAATAAATCTCAGTGATGTGTCCATGGAATGAAAGTATATTTTATTGCCTTTGAGGTTGAAGTAAGTCCTTTGGAAAATGCCATTCAAGTGGTTGAGAACAAAAACCAGGAGCTGAGAACACTGATAAGCCAGTACCAGCATAAACAAATGCATGGTAACATTAATCTTCTCAGCATGTGTCTGAATGGAGTGATTGATGCGGCTGTTAATGGGGGAATTGCACGATACCAGGAGGTAAGCCAGGCTCTGCTTCTGAATTTAGTATCACCTTTTTTTCAATTTTATTTCCATTTCTGTTTCAAAAACAGTATGACTTAATAAGATAAGAAATTTTCATGTACATTATCTAAACGTGAGGTTAAAACCCATACTTCGTTATTCTGGATCAGTGCTTGCATAGGCATCCGTCAACAGGAGGCTCCAAAGGTGGCGATGGGATATCACATTGAAGTAGGTATGGTTGACAGTGGGGTTTCTCAAGAATGAAACTTGGCTTACCTCACTTGGAAATCCTCACTTGGCGGGTAAAAGTGTGAAGCAGATTTTTTTATACTGCTTACATGATAAATCCATTTTGCAGTAGAAGCAGTGGGACTCATGGTAATTGAGACTGATTTGGCCTGTAATCAGGAAAAGCCACTAATTCGTGCTACTCAACCATTACCTTTGCTAGCCTAATCTCAGACTCACTGTAACCCTAAAATGATCTTATACGCAGTATGTTATCTGGCATAATCTTTGGCAAGCTGTTACTTAAACTCTGCATTGCAAACGCTAAGTCTAGGGTGAAATACCAAAAAATGGCAGCAGCAGTCCAGGGCTGTGGGACATGTCTTCCCTAGAGAGCTGTGAAGAGAATGCTCTTCATGCTTTACATTAGTTACCACTTTATTCACTTAATTCCTTGAACTTTAGGCACTTACATGAAGGAAACTATATAAAATTCAAATAACTGGATGATACAAGGCTTAGTGGTATTGCTCATCACTATAACATGGGGAAACTTGGTCAGATTCATGATTCAACAGAATCATCTAGGTTGCTAAAACTGTACTGTAGCTTTACCTGGATCCCAGAGTGCTAAGAGCAATAAAACTGAGCTGCTGCTGTTAGCTTTAAATATATTTAGTTTTCCTAAGATTTTTGGACCTTTTCCTCTCATCCTTTGACACTAAGTTACGATGAAATATCTTCCAGTAAGCAGAAGACTTTTTTTTTTCTTTTCCTACAGGCCTTTTTTGATAAAGATTATATTACAAAGCACCCTGGAGACGCAGAGAAGATCACACAGCTCAAGGAACTCATGCAGGAACAGGTACTGGTTTTCAGATGCAAAAGAACATTGCTACAGTGTCTGGATTCATCAGCGGTCAGTCTAAACGTACCAGGTCCAACTGATTCATTCAGAAACAAAGAATTTTGGTACAGGAGATCTAAAGTACCTTTAAACAAAAAACAGGGGTAGATGGCCAAGGAGTCTATGAACAAGCCATTCACCTTATGGGACATAAGATGAAGCTCAGCTAAAAGTACATTAATTTTGTTGTCTCCATTTATTATCCAATACACATCTTGCTGCGTTTCAAGCCTGCCGTTCATTTTTGGCATTTTGAATTATGTCTCCCCAGTAAATTTCAAAGATAATCAGAGACGGGACAGTTCAGGCTTGAGATTAAACTGGCAGAGCTACATAGGAAAACTTAATGCCTATTTATATTGTCTGCAGTTTTATTTTTCCTTAGTGTCTCCATGAAACATCTTGGTAGATTAAGCTAGCTGGATGCTTTGATGGGAATGAAATCAGAAAATCGCATCCCTCTTAACTGAAAGTTTGGCAAGATATACTCCATTAAACAATGTGTCCAAGACTGAATAGAGAGCTACTAGGCCTGTTTTCTTCCAACAAATCACTTAACTGCATTTCAGATTTCCCATCTGTAAAATAAAGATAATGCTTATCTCCCTTCAGTCCTCAAGAGAATGTTTGAAGATTAATTAGTTATTGTTTGTACAGACTTTGGATCATGTAGGGAATTATATACATCTTAAGCCTGCTATCATTACTATTTTCTTTCATCTGAGAGCTTATATAATCTCATTCAACTGCTAATATTATATGTTTGACCTTTGAAAAAGTGACCTTTAAAAATAATGAGCAACAGAAAGAGTGACTATGCATGCCACACTGCCACTGCTCAGCTCAATTATCAGAAACTCCTTTTAGAAATCTCTGTTGGCAGCTTTGACCCCTTCTCTGACACTGGGTCGAAGGAATTTTCTTTGTCACAATGCATTATCTGAGTAAGGACGTAAGGCTGTTCACTCTGGAGAGGGAATCAATCTGGTAATTTTTTACAGTTATCTCTTAACAAAAGTAATCCAACATGACATAAATGTACTTGTCTTGCACTTAAAGTACTTGTTGAAGCAATATGAACTTGCCAGGTCTCCTAGGCTTGCTTAATTATCAGCAGTCTTGTAAATGAACAGTGGTATATTTTACAGTACTTTCTTGCACACTGACAGAACTGCAGGACAGGCTTCTATCTGTTAGACACAACTTACTTGGTTTTGTGATGTTACATTTTCTTTTTAACAGGTACATGTCTTAGGAGTGGGTCTGGCAGTCCATGAGAAATTTGTACACCCAGAAATGCGTCCCCTGCATAAGAAACTGATAGACCAGTTCCAGATGATGCGATCCAGTCTGTACCATGTAAGCTGGCAGTCATTTTTCCCATTTTGAATTATGCAGTTATTATTAAATTTCTGTCAGTTGCAGTAAGGTTCACAAAAACTGTGTGGATACAGCATTGATTGAACCTACTGGATTGCCAAATTATCAAAAGAATTCTTGATTTTTGTGCAAGAAGGAACTCCTAGTAAGTATGTTAACTTAGCCTTTAATTTAAACTAGAATTGTTAATATTTGTATGTTTTTTGTTGTATCATGAAATAATTGTAAAGCTTAATTTTCAGTTACCGTCTCACATAGCAGAAAATGATGGAAAACAGAGGAAGAAAGATTATCAGAAAAGTGTTAGATGTTGAGCTCTTCAAAAGAACTGCCATCATGTGTAGTAGTATGACATGGGTTAGGCCCTCCAGAGTTGTTTTTATATAGACAGGGACAGAAATTCCTGTTGGTTACTTTAGGCATCCAACCCTGGTGACCAGGACATGCACTATTATGGCTCTATAGTTCCTATACAGTCAATGGAACTGCCTCCAGAGCATGGTTCACACCACCGCCTGTTATATACCAGAAGTACAAATACCATCCCCTAAGAATGATACCTTTCCTTCTATGTGTGCTCTGCTGTACGTTAGTATTCTGAGACAACCATGCTTGGGACATCTTTGCCAGGTGGGTCTCAGAAATTTGCAGTGCATTCTCCTCTTCCTGGTATACTGAAAGCTTTATGGATACCTAGAAACTATCTTGAACATCATCACAACCAAACTAAAGGATATCTTTCTCTAATGTAAAAGTATTATTTGAAATATGTGTGTTAGCACTTTACTTTCCAACTGGAGTATGTATTTTGTAAGGTAGATTCTAACTTGAAGGCTTTTTCCTCCATTCTTAGGATGGCCAGAAATAACAGCAACAGAATTTTAAAATATGGCCTTTCTCTTTCAAAGCAGATGAGATGCATACAGGTCGCAGTTGCCAGTTTGAGTTCACTACCTTTCTTGAGGGTTTGGACAAGATCTGTATTTTTGAGTCCACATTTCTTTTTTGAAAAATGTAGGTGGCTGTAATTTAGGCCACACTATGCCTCTATTTTCCTCCCAAATTCCTGAAATAGTGGCTAGAAATTCCAAAATTCCTGAAATAATGGCTATTGAGATTAAACAGAGAATGGGGTTGTAAAACACTGAAGCTCTTTATGCTGTGGAAACACAGGATAACTGAGGATAACTGTAGAGAACATGGAAACAGATCAGGATTTTCCTGAGAAGAAAAGCTGTAATTTTCCATGACCAACTTAGTTAAAGTATGTTTCCTTTGCAGGAGTTACCTGGTTTGGATAAGCTGAGTCCGGCCTGTTCTGGTACCAGTACACCACGCAGCAATGTTCTGGTTTCGCATGGACCTATGAGCCCAGAGAGCATAAAGCTGGTGCATCGACACAGGTGCCCTGGTTTTTTCTACTGAAATATGTAGGATCTCTGCACAGTGTTGCATTAAGATCCAAGGATCTAAGAAGTGGTTAACAGTACTGCAAGAGGAGCAGGATGAGTTTTGGCAGAAGTGCCTTTCGGCTTCATTCAGTGCTAATTATTAAAGTTTGAGGATTGGAATCAAAAAGTTGAGAAATCCAATTTGCAGCAAATGCTGAACACCTCCAGGTATTACTCCATCACTTTACTTACTGTAGAGGCAGAGACACACATCTGCCGCTCAGATCTCCAGATGGAGTCTGACTTCGGAGGTTCCAACTTCTCCTACTTCTGTTATGCAAACAGCAAATAAGTGGGTCCTTATCTACCATAAAAGGTAGATTGTTTAGATTGCTTGTTTTAGAACCCAACTCAATATGTACCCATTTTTAAGGATCAAAAACTGTTCACATCATTGTTTTTTATAATTCTGATCAAATTGGATCCCAAATATAAGAAAGGCTGCCAAGGTGTTTTGATCAGTATACCAAAAAATGGCTCAGCCTTCACAGAAACATATGAAAATGTGGATGCTTATTCAAACTGAATACCCATCTATAAAAACTGAGATAATGATTGAGGATAAAAATTGGGATTTTCAGGGCAAAAGAGTGGTTTTGTATCCAGCCAAAATTGCTTAATTGAAAATGTACATATCCATGCCAGTATGAAAAATGTGACAGGAACGTCACTGAGGTTATGAAACTTTAATTGTTCTTCCATGTTTATTTCTCTTGGTGGGTCTACATAGCTTAGCTGTTTCTAAAGCCTGTCGTGAAAAGCTGTGGGAACTTGGTCTTGACTACATAAACCCAGGATGGCGATGTTCTTTTTACTATTAAAATTGAGTAGCTCTCATACTACTTTAGTGGCTTGGCAGTTGACAGTTGGTGTCTACGTATTTGTGTATGTGATTCAGAGTGACAAAGAAAAAATTAATTCCGTGACTGAGATCAGGGTGCAGGCTGCACACCAGCTGGGCTGTATTAATTTACTGTCAGCTGCAAAGTTGCTTTCAACTATAATGCTGAGGCCCAACAGATGCAATAAGGAAAACTGTATTTTGACCTGTGTGTCTTGTGCTTGGCTCCTTTTGGAAGCTGCTCCCACTCATCGTACTTCAGTGTTAAAAATGAGAGTGGTTTCACAATGTTCTGTTATAAACAAAACAAACAGGCACACAGCATCATGACGTGATGTTATCCTGGCTTTGGATTCTGAAATTCTACATCCTAAGTACTGTGTTGTCTTATATGTAATTTATTGTCACGTCTTTCATATTTACTCACATTTATGGATTTCTTTAAGCTTATTGGGCTGACTTTTCAAAAGTGACATCTAGTGATCTAAAGCAGTAGGTAACTGTAGGCACTTACTAGCTTGGTAAAAATCAGGCTTCATAAATTAAAATGAAGGTTCAAAAAATAATTATTCCCTTGTTCTGTTTCTGTTTTCATTCCAGCCCACTGAACTTGCTTGGTTCAGTCCGACACTCATCATCCTCTCTGTCGTCCCACACCTCCAGTGAAACAGGAAACCTGGTTATCCTGACAGACAGTTCTGTGGGGGAGACTCCTGAGGATATGTACCACATGCAGGTACAGCTCCCGCACAGCCAGGAGCAGTTCTTAGAAACCGCACTGAACATGCCCTGGAGGATTATGCTTAGGAGGAGTACACTTTACCTATGCACATGCTTAGATCTGTCCTGGGATAGTCGTCTCAAAGAACTGAATAGGTAGAATATAACATTGTTCAAGAAAGATGACAGAGTAATTTGGGAAGAAATCTTCTGTATTTGTACAGAAAGTTGATACTGTGGTCCAAGATCATAGTGTTGTTTTCAGAAAGTGAGATTTTAGTTGGCATGTTATTTATCTGACCTTTCAACAGAAGCAGTTAGTATTGCTCTTAGTTTGTGGGAGAGTGAAATTAGTCCCACAGTCCTGAGCGCAGATCTATAGTGGCCTGCGCTGAAGCTGTTTCCTAGACAGAGGCTACGCTGGGTGACCTGAGACAGGTAAATATCTAATGCACTGATCCACTCAGTTCTCTCTCGATGATTTCTCTGCCTCCTGCAGCTTGTTTACCCTAACTCCAGGTACCAGGGCTCAGTCACCGACGTCTCTGTTTTATCCTCGTCCCAGGCTAGCCCTTCCACCTCAAGCTTGAGCTCTACTCACTCGGCACCGTCTCAGATGATTAACTCTGCCCCTTCCAGTGCTCGAGGTAAGAATGGATGGGCACAAATGAAGGGTTAACTGGATCTGCAGGCATCCTCTCAACCTGGCAACGTTGTTGGCTTATTGGTGAAAGACCACCTACGCTGAAATACACCACTGTTTCTCTTTTGGAGCTGTAAATGCCTCTTCAAAAATTATTTCTTAAGAAACGTTTTTCATTTTCCAGAAGTGGATTTAATAATTTTTTTTTCAGCATTATTTGGATTGTATCTCTAACAGATGCTGGTTTCAGGCAGTTGAATTTCATGATGATTTCTATTGTTCCACCAGACAACTGTGGCAGGGAATCTAGAGGAAAACAAGAATAGTCTTTGGTACAGTACTTAAAAGAGAGAGATCATGAAGACAGAGGTGAAAAAATCATTTTACATGTTTAATGAGATTATGGCACAAAAAGGAACTTGAAGCAGTTTAGCAGAAATGTATGCATACAAAAGCATATGTACACAATGAATGTTGAAAGGTACAGATTTTAAGTATTGGAGTTAAAGAAGGGCTTCCCTGCTGGGAAATTCTTGAAGAAAGAAAAAATGTAACAACAGACTCTAGGGGTACTCATACTGCCTTTGCTGTTACAGTAGCTGGTCTTGATACTGCTAATCATTTTCTTCCCAAGCCTCAGAGCTGAAGCAAAACCACTCCGTGCAATCCCCTGACTTTGGTAACTTCTATTCAAGTTTTTTTTTTCCTTTCATTTTGGATTCTTACTTGCAGGTTCATGAATTCCTATACCTCTTTTCACAGGCATCTGATGAAGGTATCCAGGATATAGTCAGAGATAGAGGCTGTTATTTAAATCTTACCCCTTTTTCCCATACAGTGGAACTGTATGTCTCCTTATGGACAGAGCATACAGAGAAGGGCCCTTTCTCTCAGGCCAGCTTGTTTTGTTTTGTTTTGTTTTTTCTCAATCTTGCAGTAAAATCTTAATTGACTGGCTGTTGTTACAGCACAGATGCATCAAAGTGATTTAATTGAAGGATCAGATGGAGTAGGAAGGTGAAAAATGGACATCTTCATATAAAGGCAAATAGCTTCACTAATTACCAAGGGCTGGAAGGAAAATAATGATGATTCAAATGGTAAAGTAACTGGATGAAACTGGCATTATAGGAAAGCGAAGATGGAACTGAGTTACAGGGCTATCATGTCAGGAAGATGTCCTTAAATGTCAGCTGGCATATGAGGTCTGAATCTTTTGGAGGATCTGAGGCATTTTGGTGCTCATAGTATTTCAGGCTGTTTTCCACTTTAAAAGTCCAGCGCTCACAGTGACAGGCTGTGACAGTCTTTCTGAGCTTGATGACTTCGCAGCATCACCAACTTCCCTCTTTACTGTATTCTTTGCTGTTGCTTAGAAACCAAAGTGATGAGTGCTACGAAGAGTACTGTGCTGATGCGTGAGCCAACAGCACCTCCCAGAGATGAGAACTAGACAGTGTAAATGACCACAAACGAGGAAACAATAAGAGAAGTAATGATTTTGAAAAAATACTTCAATATATATATCTGTTTGATTCTTCACTTACTAACATGTTTTGATAGCCTATGATACAACATTTCTTCTCTGCTAGTTTTGTTCACTTTTAAGTTAGGTGAGCACAGCTTTCTGACATTACCCACTGATTATGGGACTTCACTTCTAGTTAAGTCCCAGCTGCTCTCTGTTTCACAGTGTGCAAGTCACTATTCTGGTTATTATGACACAGCTGTCTGGAATGGAGTTGTTCGTAATGAGAAAAAGCCCTTACACTTAAGTTCCACTGTGGTAATACAGCTTTGTTTTTCTCCTGGGTGTTTTTTCCTTTTGTTTTGTTTTTTAATTGGGTGAATTTGATGCTTGTGAAAATGAGAGACCAGTATCACTGGCTGGAGCAAGGTACTTCACAAACATTACATGTGCAGCTCTGCCAATGCACCTCTATCTTTTTTTTTTTTCCTTTTTTTTTGGTATTTATTTATATTCTTTTTAATTTAGTGCTGGTGAAAGGTGCTGGATTGACAACACTGGAGGCTGAAGCCCTCTATTTATCCACAGAACAGATACAGCATGGGCGGCAGCCGTGCAAGCTTCCCCACGCTGCCCCCACCAATGTGCCTCATCTCTGTCCTGGAGGGACCACCTCTAGAGGTGAGAGGATAGTTCAGTCGCCATGACCCATCCAAACCTTGGCCTTTCTGCTGAGACTGCCAACAAAGCTACAATAGTCACGATGCTGCAGTTAACCACTTTTCAGACGGGAAGTATACGAAGGCCAACAATTCATTTCGTACAGGCCACCTAAATTTATCAACTTAGCATCTTTGTCACCTGTGGCTTTAACCTGAGCATGGTTATCTAGGATTTCAAGGTTTCTGTCAGATCTTTAAATGCTCCTCTCATTGACTCTATCGTTAATGTAGAGGTGAAAAAAACACTATCCCATTTTCCAGATACTTATACCACCTTCTCTGTTTAACTGCAGAGTCCTTTCTGGAGCTCAGCCACTAGCACTGTTCTGAGGAGATGGGTATCTTTGTAATATAGATTAGTTCCATTAGTGACCAAAGCAAGCCATGGCCATTTGTATTAAGAAACCAGCAGGATACTTCCAATTCTCCACTTCCAAAAAATGACCATTTCATTGATGTTTAAAACAGCAACACAAGCAAATTATTTGGCTTGTCCCAAGAAAATAATAAAGGCATTAGTCTAAATTTTTTTAAAGGATAGTCAAGACAGTAGATTAATGATTTATCATTGAAGAGCAGATCGAAGCAGCAAACCTTACACTAGTTATAATACACGCAAGTTAGAGCAAAAGTCTTAAATAGAATTGTAATCAGAATACAGTAAGAATTTTCTAATTCTGTGCTAATGATAAAGACATTACTAGTTACTCTGTTTTTCAGATTAACAAGTATGTATCTCAGTTTTCACCTGGCTTGACCATTGTGTAGCTTCTTCCCAATCAAGAAAGCAACACCGTTGTTGTATGGCGGATCATTAAGAAATTCAGAGGTTGTTTTGGCTTCATTCGAGGTGGCTCATGAGGCACTGCTCTAACCTTACTGGAGTTAAAAGATTATGTAAGCCCATGTTCATTAAGCAGAAATTGTAATGCAAAAAGGCCTGGAAAAACCTAAGAGCGGGTTAGGTTTTTTTCAGTAATGTTATATAAAATATGGTTGTGACTCCTCCGATGCACTCTAAAGCAACTCCCACTTGACACTTGATGACCCACCTCTTAAGGCATCCCTACTGCTTCCTCAACACAGCCCCCTTTTTAAGGTGTAGAAAATGAGTCCTGGTGGCTTATTCAGTGCTTGGCAAGAACCCATATACTTAGATTAAAAACTTCGTTCTTAAAGCAAAAAAAGTTATGATTTGGTGCAGGAGTGAACTGTTTTCATAAGAGTAATGAAAATGATCAATCAGGAGAAAAATTTCATTGAGTTTGGAGTTTAACTACAGTAGTTGTCAGTTTCATTCCTTAAAACCAAGACTTGTCACAGGTAGATTAACATTTTCATAATTAAAAAAGAAAAACTACCTCTGGCTTCAGCATAGGTATTCCTTTCTCATTAATGGGATGTACAGTGTTGCACACATCAAGTATACCAAGGTACACGCTAAAAGGAGTAAGCCCTGATACATGCTGCAGCATTTTATATAGCCACTGGCTGCTGTGGAAGCTTTTAAAAGCTTTTTTTGACTTTGTTTTTTAAGTTTTGCCGGTCCCTGAAAGAAGCCTTAGTGATTGTGCTCTCTCTCTCTTCAGAGAAGCAGGCCTGATTATTAATAAAACTTCAATTATAGCCACTCCTCTTGCGGCCTACAATTCAGAGCTATCAGTACTTAATTTTGTTTGCGGACTGCATACTTGGCATAATCTGTTACAATTTTTATAGCTATAGTGATTTACAAATTTAGGGTACCAAACAGCAGAGCTGTTTTGTAAACTAGACTCTGCCACCATATTTAGCACATGTGGGATTTTTCAGGTCATGCAATGCAAGGTCTGTGGAAACTCTAATCCTATATAAACTGATGGCACATAGAGGTGGTTTGCATCTTAGACATAAAAGAACAAGGATGGCAAGATGAATAAAAGGGAAAAGTTTACAGTGTAGGTTGTGCTGTGATGTACTTCTGGGCACACCTAAAAGTTCAGCGTCCTTGCATCTGTCATGCAGAAACAGGACTATCTGTGATGTGTGAGTAAAAGAGACTCAGCATAAAGCGTTAACACTGTGTTCTCCAAGCTGATATTGTATATAAGAGCAAATAATGTTGTCTAATTACGTTTCTGTTTTATGTCTGGGGAGAAAATGAGTTCGGAACTAGAATGCAGATACTCTGCAGCTGTTCATGTCGGGGTGGAAGCGTAGATTAATCTGCCACCCCTGATGGAATTGTTGCAATTGTAGGACATTATCCTGCATTCTGCTGGACACATTGTTCCTTCCATTGTGTGCTGAATATCAGTCCCCAAAACTGCATGTTTGCTTTTGCTGGGGTAAAAGCTGCATTAACCAGCACCAATGCCTTTGCTCATATGTCAGAGTGCTGTTCAGGTAATGTGTGTGGTTGTGGACTAAGTTTGCAAAAGGGGGCATGTATTCCCCAAAAGCCGGCATGGCTCTGTAATGCGCTGTGTGCTGCCATCTGTTAAGTGCGTGTTTGTGACGCAATGAAATAATCAGTGCAAATTACAGCTCACTCCAGCAGCTTCAGAACATCAGTTCCTGCCTAATATTGTGCATCCCAAGGGATGCGTGTATCAGTATTATCAGACTTCAGGAAGTCACTAATGAGAATCATTCTTCTGGCAAATCCATTGTCAGCTGTTGCCTATCAGAAGGCATATTGTTATGTGGCACTCATCTTGAAGGACAGGAGTCCCAAATAAGTCCACATGCCAGGAAGCTGTTTACATAAAAGACCCCGATATCTTAAATTACAGCTGTACAGATAACTAATAGTTAAGTCAAGCATATTCCTCCTGTGTAACCCTAAGCATTGGTAAATTTCCTGTTGTCATAAAATGTCTCAGTATAGCAACATGTTCAGCAGTAATTACACATTACCCAGTGGCATTACAAGCACAGTGCCACCCAGATTTATAGAAAATTCTGTTTATTATTGGGTTTTGTTTTGCTTAAAGAGGAAGCTAACCTCTTTAGTATCACCAACTAAATAGCAACACCTCAGATTATCTCTACCAGAACTGAGGCATGAAGTAGCTTCCTGTAGCTTCCTGCTTTAACTGAATGGTGTATCTCAAGCTTTTATCCCTTTCTTCCATGTTCAGTCTGAAAATGCACAATTTTATGGCATTTGTATAACTCTACAATACTTTATGGGCAAGGGAGCATTAGGCACTGTACAGCACAGCCACAGCTGATTCCACACAGATGCCCACTTTTTTTGTCTGGTTTAAGAGGAAGCACTTTGCAACATACAACTAGGGACGCATACATCTTATACACCTTACGTGGTATGTCCTTAATTGTATATAACAAGCCAGTTCTTATTCCATCCTCGTGCTATGCAACCCACCAACAGTTAGCTGCTTAGTGGGCTCAGCACCATGTTTTCTTGAGTCCTGTAAGATCATCCGTCTGAATAAATTGCAAAGGAGGACTAGATCACTGGGCATGCGGAGACATGGCTGTTGTTTGTCACGTGTACGTGATTATTCTCACTTGTTTACAGGCTCTCCCTCTCTACCAGATAAGTACCGCCACTCTCGGGAGATGATGATGTTGCTGCCAACCCATCGGGACCGACCTAGCAGCGCCATGTATCCCACAGCTATCATGGAAAATGGACAGGTATCAGATGTAATTTCTTTTATGTCAGTTCAACCACCTGAAACTGTGACTTTCTTTCTGCTATTTTTGACCACCTTAAAGCTTTCCTTTTTATTTTTGGAAAGCACAACTTACTTAGGATCATTTGCAGAGGCAAAGCAGAACTTTTCGTATGAATCACCCACCCCCTAGAGCCACCCACTTTGGTAGTCAAGCGATACAAATTGTAATGATTGTTAAAATTGCAGATATGCCCTGTGAAAATGGACTCTGCTTACTTCCCATCTTTATCCTATGAGCCCTGGTCCACTGCAAGTAGTCATACCATTTTATTTATTCATTCTTCTAGAACCATGGCTGTCCTGCACTCTAGCATCAAAGTTGATTCTACATAGCTTTGTGGTGATTGCCATATTCTGTATGATGGTATCAAAATCCATGAGAGGCTGAAATAACATACTGATACAGGGTCTCCAAACAATTTGTGCCTGTATCTACTACTTTCTCTGGACAAACTGAAAATTCAGAGTGTGCCTACATGTATGCATTTTAATCTGGCCCTGGCATGCACTTTTGAAGAAAATCTCCTGATCGTGCCCACTTACCACGCTTCATGTCACATTGTGTCTCAGAGCATGCAACCTCAATTCTTTCAAATGAAACCAGAGCAAAAGGTAAGCTCCAGAAGGGCCCATGCATTTGAGCTGATAGTGGGCACAAGACCAGGCTAGAGCTAGTTTGAAGTAACTCCTCCAGAGAACACTAGCAACATGAATTGTGGGCCCTCAACACTGTTACACCCTAGAGATCCACTTGTATTGCTATTGTGGACATAGCCTAAGGTTCGCATGAATTGTTTTGTTAAAAAACTTCCTTTGCTTAAAAAAAGCAAACAAAAAGCCCGAGGGTTCTGCACCAGTTGGTCTGTAACTTTTTTTACTTTTCTTTGCTAACTTTCTTCTCCCTTAGCCTCCAAATTTCCAGCGCGCCTTGATCCAGCAAATGATTGGACCATGCAAACCTTGCAGTGATCCCAACCTGTCTGTGGCTGAGAAAGGTACTCTTTTTCCTAGGTAGCATGTATGCTTTCTAAAATATTATTACTCTGGTCATGCTGCAGCAAATAACAAATGGGCTTCTACATTTCCTGGCAGAGTACGTTCTCTCACATTTTTTTAATTAACAGTTTAATTAACTGGGCCTTCTGCCAACCTGTAGTCACTTCAAATCATTCACAGAAGGGTGGAGTTGCACAAACCTCTTCATTTCAGAAAGCTTTCTGAGTTTAGCATTTTGCTATTGAAACAAATCCTGCAGCCTTTATTAAGCAAAACTTCCAAAGCGGTAAATGAGAAATTAACTGAAAGAAGAGTGCAAGATTTGGATTGTATATTTAAATAATGAGATATACTGCTTTTTTTAATATGCATTTATTGTTCAAAATATTAACATTTCTTGTAATCCCTCTCTGAGGTAGTTTTATATTTATTTAAGCTTATCATTAGGAATGTATGCTTTTTTAAGTCATTGCTTTTAAAAAAATAGGCAGAGCCCTTGCTGAAAAAAAACATGAAAGAAAAGAAAGTTAGTTGGTTTGGTGTAACAGAAAAGGAGGAGCTTGCAAAAGGGGTGCCATGGACAAAGTGATGGGCTCAAAAAATTATCAGAAAGGCAGCATTCTGAAAAAGCAGAAGGTGACAAAATTCACAAGTCAAAATCTGAAATAAGGAGGCTGCCTAAGCAAGCAACAGTCATGTGTATGGCTGGGAAAAACGGTATCTTAAAGGATTTTTAAGGCCAGGAAAGACCATTGCAACTCCCTAGTCTGACCTACACAATGCACTCCGTTAGACTTTTATCAGCATTTTTGTTTCAGTAACTGTGCCTGAACTAAATTGTATCTTTCTGACAAAAAAATCCAGATTTTATTTCAGAATTTCTAATAAACCAGAATCCACTACTTTAACAATGTGACAACCTTACAGAGCGATCCAGATTGAAACCAAAAGCCAACGTACTGTTCTGAATAAATGGCAGGGTGATGACTTGATGACAAGAATGAATGATGACAACAGAGAGTTAAGACTAGGGGTGAGGGATTAAGAGTTCCATCTTAGCCATGTTAGTTTGAACTGAACATACGACAGAGGCAGTGAGATCTTTATACAGGACAGGAGAAAGGTCTTGAAAAGGAAGGTAGATAAATATTTATTACCTGTCTAGGAAAAAGACTTGAATTTGTATTTGTGGGTGATATCGTGCAAGAGTGTAGTATACAGCGCAAAGAGAAGGGGATCAAAGACAGAATCCCCTCCAGAGGCCCAAAGAAGCTATAAAAGACACAGGTGATAATCAGTAATTGTTCTTAGGAGATGGCGTGACAGGAATCCCAGCTCTTCAGTCAGGTTGGTAGCATAAATGCAGTTACAGGCATTTTTTTGCAGCCCTTGAGCCCTCATCGTTCTTTTTAAGTCAGGATGCCATCTGCCTTGGTTTTTGTTAACAGTCATGCCCTGTGAATTTACCCACCCCCTTCCTTGCCATGTCAGAAGCGCTGCTCAGTAATTCTCATTGACAGCAGGGTGACATCCATCGCCCAGAGCAAAATGGTTCAAGTGCTGCTTCCCTGCTAATTAAACTCGGCCACCAAGCCACTGAACACTGTTATAGAGAGAGAGATGGGCTAGGACAGAGCACTAGGAGCTCCCTGGTTAGGTTCCTCCCTGAAGCGTTTTGGATCGAACACTGGTTTTCACAGGCAGCAGCCACTCCAAAATCATCTGACCTTAGGATGATTTCCAGCATTCCTAAACACTCAAAAGGCTGTGACTGAGGGAACACTGAGAAAGTATAAACGGATTACACACTGGGGTACCATGCTCTCTTCTTCATGGTCTTCTACTGCATCTCAGTGTTTTAAAAAAAAATAAACCAAAAAACAAACAAGCACAACAATCATTTTACAGGGCAAACAAATCAGGTTTCGTTCTGTCCTTTTCACTTGATGCTGGTGTATTGCAGGAGAGAGTAGTCTGGCTGGCACTGTTACGCATCTGGTCCCTCTGTTTTAGCCTTCTGACACCAGTTGCAGTAGTGCAAATTGGAGCACTCTGGCAAGTGTACAGGGATGCTCAGAAAATTCATCTAAAGCCACATTACTTGTGTTGAGATGTAGCCCTTGGTTTGAACCTGTTCTTTGTCAAGATTCTTAATGTCTTCTTTGCATGCCTTTCTCAGTTTGAGGGTCTCTCTTTAAAAATGACATTTACTTTCGTACTTTATGGGCTTCGTTTTGTCTGACGAAGCTGTCACTTTGTGATCTTTTTTACTTTAGGGAATTTTAGGTCTTGGGGAGTCTGTGTTCATGCTAAATCATGAACTAAGGAGGAAAAAAAAAAAAAGAAAACAACAATGAAGAAACTTTTCAAAGTCATTTTAGAAAAGAAATGCATCAAAAATGGCTGCAGGCATTTTAATTAAGGAGAAATCCTCTTCAGATATCAAACTCCATGTTTATTTCTCCAGGCTTCCATTTTCCAAACTGAAGATGGAAAAAGCTATTTTTATCTCAGTTTTCTTTGGTAGGCTCACTGAATTACTTTGTTTTCCTTTTTTCTTTGCTAATCTGAAAAAATTGCTTATTTGTTTTTAAATAAACATACAATTATTGTATGTCTCTCAGAATAAATCAAGTCTTGCAGTGTGTCTGGAAGAAAGGAAGGCGCATTTTAATACTGTTTAATGTTGACAGAATTCTCAAGATCTTGAAAAATGTTCATGTTAGAAAGAAGCAGCTTTCATTTCTATGAAAAACCAAACACACAAAGATCATACTCATAGCTGTTATATGAGGAAAGCCTTCCTCTCTATATACTTCCTGATTAACAAAGATTTGATCTCTTCACGTGACTTTGTAATACAAGGAGTTTGAACTGCTGTCTTTAAATATTTTGTGATCAAAATTCTTAATCAACGCTGTAGCTTAGTAAATCAGGGCTTTAGAGTCGTGATTTCTTTTGTAACAGATTGAGGTGTAATTTCCCTCATGTCCTTTATTCAGTCTTCACTTAGCCACTGTAGTGCAGCAACAGGCCTTCCTGTGTTTCATGAGGGTTCTGCCACATGTTCTCTTCTGCTCTGTCACCATTTACCACCAAGTAGGACAGCTCAGAACTGAGATCTAGCTGCCATTCCATCAATGAGACTTCATTTTTACTTACTTGCTGGTTTGCAAAAAAAACCCAGCAGAGTTCTACTGCTCTTCAAATTTGCTAGAAATGAGCCAAGGGGATCATGGAGGGGAGATGGGCAGACTAACACTACAATCACCTAACTCCCGCTTCCTTAACAAAGCAACCTATAAACTTAACACACTGATGTCTTTGTATGCCTTCAATCCTACTTAACCATTCACCAAGTCCCTAGAATCTGTCTCTTTACTGCTAAAGAGCACACTTGGAAAGCCAGTCCTTCTGGCCCCAAGAACTCCCTGGTATGTTACCCAAGTTAAATCTGTTTCAATCCTTCAGCTGTGCCAGCAGCGCCCAGCAGCTGGAGCCTAGACAGCGGAACCCGAGAGGCCCTGCCATTCCTGTCTGCCCACGTTGGGAGCATCTTGGCCCCACCAGTGCCTCCCCGAAGCCTGCCCCATGGTAAGGAAATGCCCAGCAGGCCTGCTGCAGAATGCCTGCAGTCATGCACAGATAAATCTAGACCACCTGAAAGCTGACCTTAGCCTTCCCCCTGCCTCCACCTCCCTGTAATAAACAATGAGAAACAAAACCCCCAAAGTCTTTCCTGGTCTGCTAGGTTAGCCCTGGACAAAGTTTTCAATTCTGTTTTTTCCAAAAATCTTCAATTTTTTTGCAGTCCTTATAGTAATACGGACTTGCCCTGATTTGGGGACTAGATTTAGGTGTGTGAGGGTTGAAGTTTGGCCTGGCTTCTTGCCAATGACCTTCTTCAGCCATAATTTAAGGTTACAAATCTATTAAATGAAACTTCAAATGTTCATTGTTTACGAGCCTGTTGCCTTGCCATGAGATCCTTAATAACAGGGGTGGGTGGAAATCTATCTTCTTGTTAGCATTTTGTGTGTGACAGATGCACCCCACAGTATCTGTCGGAAAGGATGCCCTAGGTTGGAGTAGAGTTACCAGCATTTGGAGCTGTTGCCTGGCATTACAGAGTCTAAAACGCCAGCTCTTTTGCTGCAGTGAGGCAGCACAAGTCTGCATTTCTGATCCTTGTCTCATTCCAGGACACTACTCTCTGCACTTTGATGCCTTCCACCACCAGCTCAGTGATGCTCCTCCGGCACTGCCTGCACGAACATTGCGCAAGGTAAAAACGAAATGGCAGGAGAGCAGAAAGGGATGTAGAAGGAAAATAACAGGCTCCTGAAGGAATCCCCCTGCTCTGTTCCCACCAAGCAGCTTTTGAATATACAAACACTATTTTTAACATGCTAGTAACTTACACATGAGAAAATCCACTGAAAGCTCAAAGTATTCCAGAGTTGAATTCTATAGAAATAACATGTGTTGTAGGCCCTTCCACTTTGCTTCTTTGTATCCTATGCTGTGACTTCAGGCACTCTGATTATCACCTCAACTACTGTTTCTTTAACAAATAGCTCTGGTGGTGTTAAGCACACTTGTCTGTCCACAAGAGGTACTTCCGTACAAGTCATATAAACCAATACTCATTGGCATTTTGAACACAAATGGAACTGCAGCATTGTTAACATCACTGTCAAAACCTGAAATGTGGAACAACACACAAGATGCAGCATTGCCTCCTTTGTCAATTTTAACCTGGTTTTGTTTTTTTCCGAACAGTCCCCTCTTCATCCTATCCCTGCATCACCCACCAGTCCACAGTCTGGTCTAGATGGAAGTAACTCCACTTTATCCGGCAGTGCCAGCAGTGGTGTGTCTTCCTTGAGCGAGAGCAATTTTGGACATTCTTCTGAACCACCTCCTCGCACAGACACCATGGATTCTGTCCCCAGCCAGGCCTGGAACACTGATGAAGATCTAGAGACACCCTACCTCCCTGTTAGGTACAGTCTCTCTGAGCCTGATGTCCTAGAGTCGCTCAAATCCCAGCCATGCCGAAGCCACTCTGCTCCATCTGGAGTCATTCCTCAGGACACCATGGACCCTCCTGCTCTACCCCCCAAACCTTACCACTCCCGGCTGCCAAACATGGAGAATGAGGAGGGGATGATAATTGAAGATGATGACAAACACCGCCCACTGCATCGTAAAGTGTCCCAACCAGTGAGTGGTGGAAAGGAAGAGCAGGCCAGGGTAGCATGGGAGCATGGAATCAGTGAGCAGTAGGGGTAACTCCTGGTAAGCAGCTTGTGCATCGTCATTCCAGGTCTGATTACAAAGGAGAGAGATAAGGACTCGGAGAACAGCAAACCAGTTTTCTACTGCCGCAAGTTTATGTCTGGGGCCCACAAAAACAATTGGGCCAGCATGGGAGGTTGCTGCTTTCCTTTTTAATTTCTTTTTACACCTTTCCGTTACATTTTTTAACTTTCTGTGCAGTGGACAGTTTACTCCTTCTGCAGTTTCTTAACCACATCATATGGCACATAAGCCATGGAGACTTGCAGAAGCTGAAAAATTCAGTTTTAAGTGGTGGGGGAAAAAAGTGGGGGGGGGATGTGGGAAGTTGATTTTGAAACTGCTTTCCTCCCAGTTCTGAGACGCACATGAGTAGAAGCAGTTGCACTAGGGACATATTTCTTTGCTGTACAGAAGTGAAAGCTCACTGCTGAAATCAGGGATTCTATGAACTGTCAGGCTGGAAGGTGCATGAGCTGCAGGCAGTGTAAAGATGGCAATTCTAAGAAGAAATTGGCTCTTTTGAGAGCAGGATTGTACATATCTGTGCAGTGATCTCCCTGCATTGGTTCATAGGTGCTGAGGCAATCTAACCAGTGCTCATGCACTGATTTCCAATATATCATTTCCAACAAACTCTGCCTCCTTTGTTTTTTACGTACTGTTTGATTTCTTAAATTTTGCTTTCACTGGCTAAACCAACCTGCTTTCTCATTGGAATCATGCTATTCATCTGTGCTACAGAATGAGAGAAGGTTAGTAGCCACTGGAGCTACAACCTAATTGTAGGCCTTTCCCATGCCCAACTTTGGGCAGGCTGTTGACACCAGCATTTCTATTCCAGTTAAAAAAAAAAAAAAGGAAAAAAAACCCACCACCAGACAACCAAATTGAGTTTTTCATGCCACAAGCTGGGTTGATGACCCAGCCAGTAAAGAAAAGGTGGCTTCAATGCATCATATCCAACAATCCTTGCCTCAGGTCTGAACGTCACAATTCTCACCAACTTCCATCACCCAGGAGCTGAGATTCATTCCCTGTTAACATAATGTCCTCAGTCCCTCCCAACAACTCACTGCAGCTGGTGTGCAGAAAGAATCTCCATCTCTCACAGTAGACAGAAAACACCAACATTCAAGAAATGCCCAGTATAATACAGTGTACACCTTAGAGTCAGGGATCTTAAAGGCAACCTGTAAAGAAGAAATGTTTCTTTCCTCTTTTGCTTCTTTAGAATGTATAAAGAAGTTTTAAGAGCTTCTTCTTCTCACTTCTGGAAGGTTGATTTCTTTTCTTTTCTCCCCAGGCAGCAATACAACCTTTCCCCACCACCACCTTTTTTTATTGACAGGCTCCAGAAAGGGCTGAAGAATATTTAAAAAAAAACCAAAAAAAACCACAAACCAAAACCAAGAAACAGAACTATGCAGAGATGAAGACAGTACAAGTCTATGAACACAAAACAAGGCTTTTAATCAGTATTTACTTAGTTCAGTACATGACAAACCAGGAAAAAATTTTATGGGTAATAGAGCCAAGATCTGCTCTTTGAAAAGAACACCAAGAAATCTTTTACTCCTATTTTCATATTTTTCAAGAAACTTTCAATCAAGAGAGTATCAAATATTTAATGTTTTTAGATAAACAAGCAATGTTCCTTCTCCCTGCCATGCCCACACACATTATATCCTTCCTATAACCTTCCACCGGCAGATGGCAAAGCACAGTCCAGAGGATGGTAACAGACCACCCTCTTTCTTACCACTGAAAAATCTGAAGCACATTGAAATAAGAGACTTACCTCTACCATGTAAGTTAGTGTCAGAAACAGCACTAGCACTCAACTTTCATATTGAACTCTTGCCCTAACCAATCAATTTCTAATGCTACAAACAGCATAAAGAAGCAAAAAAGGATATTTTAAATCTTTTACAGGTCACCTTTAGCACTACCTCTAAATACAGTGACTGGGCAGAGTACATTGCTTCTGAACTCGCCTAAAGATGGTCTGTCTGTATGAAGTCTGGACTCAGCGGTCCTATGAAAGGGATTTTAAGAGGATTTGTTTATTTTCTTTCTCAAGCTCTAGCCCATGCAAAACTAGTAAGTTATGGATTTGTTTCTTAAATGGCCTCTTTGGCTGGAACAAAGTCTCTCTTGCTTCCTCTATTTTGTTACTAACAAACACAGGCTGCTTGTAATCATTGTATCCTTCACAATTAAGACAATGATAATAAAACCTGGCCTATAGTGGATGGTTCATCTCTAGCAGAAAGGAGAGTTTTCCAATGCTAGGACAGTCCTAAACATTAATGAACCAAGCCGGATCTCTGGTATAGAACAGATGTATGAAAACTCAACTCAAAATTACGTTTCCTGTAAAGGTAAGTCAAGGTAATTCCTTAGAAATTAGTGAAATATTTTCACGTATGCTATTCTCCAATCTGACCGAGACTCTTCAAGTGAAGTTTTTAAGAGAACCAAGTATTCAATTCCATCTCCCCTGCCCCCCCCCCCTTTTTTTTTTTTCATCAACATTTAAAACATAAAAAAGAGTCCCTGGAATAACTTACTTTAAAAAAAAAAAACAAAAACAAAAACAACAACAACAAAAAAAAAACACCAGCAGGTCTTGCAAATAAAACTTTGAAAAACCAAGAATGCAACTAACATGGGACTAAGTCCCCGTCAGCTGGAAAACCTGCCCACTAGAGCTCTAGTCAGTCTCTCAAATGTATCATCCTGCTCTGATTAGAGACATTGTACCACAGCAGCGAGTCCATTTTGGGACTCTGACATTACTGTGTATTTGTAAGGGTTTGAAGATCAATCAGATGATGTATACAAATATGTAGTTTACAGCAGACAGAAAGACCCACACAGAGAAGGACAGAATAAATTGCTGAATTTACCAAATTTAAGCTTCTCTGGAGTTAAAATTCTGTTACTGTTCTGATATCTATGAAGTATTCTGTCTCCCTTTTCAGTGCTTGCCTTAAAAGGGGCAGAAGATAGACTATTATTAAGATTTTGTGAATGCTGGAACTAATACTTCTCTGTAGGGTGAGGTGTCTTATAGCATAGTACAACTCCCAACATCAAGCTCAGTCCTGGAGTAGGTGGAAGCAACAGCAGTTGTTACACTTCCCAGCAGGATTTGAAGATTCTTTGTATAAACCACAGCAACAGGATGTTTTGAACAGGACCTTGTGATTCTATACTCAACTCTAAATCAAACTTAGTATGTACTTGCCTTCACTGGGTTTTCTTTGTGTAACAAGATAGCATGTGCACTCCTGAGAAATGCGGTGGAATTCTGCTACGAATCTCTCCATCATCAGTGTACCTGCTGACCCCATCTGAAACAAAATTGAGAAGGAACTACAATAGTAGAAGAAAAGCAATTAAAACAATTCCTCTGAATCCTACAATATTTTTTTTTCAATAGTTGGGTTGGTTTTATTACTGTGTACAAGACTAAGATTCTTTTCCGTCTTTTTCTCTGTTCAGTTTTTAACCTACCCTTTTTTAGCTATGGGATATTACATATCCCTTCTGTGGGAAAATCAGCCAAACTGGGGAGGCTGGAGAAAGCAAGAGCCTTTGGGAAACAAATTACGTGATATTTAAAATTTCCTCTGATCATGCTTCTTTGTAAATACCCCCATTTGAATGCTGTGTATTTGTACAGGAAATTGAGCAAAAAATGTATAGATTGTGATGTCTGACTGGTATTCTGCCCTGTAAATGTGTTTTTAACCTCTGGCATTCTGTGCTTATTTAAAAAAGGCAAAAACCTCTAACCACTTCTCTTTTGTGTATTCATGTTTAAAATAAAATGAAAACAGCTATCTTATCTATAATGGAAATCAAATTTAAAAGGAAAAAAATAATTTGTACAAGTGTCCTAAAGGTACTTCATTGTATATATTGTGATAGCATGTTTCCAGAACCAACAAATAAGTGGTGTGAATTTTAGATGTAAATATCTGCCGTTTGTTTTGAATTTCTTCCCCTTACCCATTCACTTGACTGCTGTGATGTGGAATTAAAGATTAATACCTGATATTAAAATGGTACAGCTGTATGTTCATTGCTGTCCTCCAGACAGGTTTATCCTCAGGCTGCTCCAGACACTCAGAAGGTGTGTGGAAACAGCCATCACTTTCCTTCATTTTGTGGGAATGAGGAAAATGGGGGTCAACGAAAAGGACCTTGTGGCTATTATGTGCAGTGAGGAAACAGCTTCCACATTATTCTCTGAGCTGACAGTTCACTATTTTATTCAATATCAACTTCTTAAAGCAAGCATCAGACATATCCACTAGCTCATCTACTCAGGTAGATTTACCTGACACATGCAGCGGCCCAAGACACAGTTTTGAGGCAATACTTTCAGAGATCAACTGAATCAGTGATTAGTTCAATACGTATCTCACTGTGTAGATTGCTATTTGATCAGTGACACTTCACTTTTTTTTATTGCAATATCAAGACATTTTGACAGTGATTTATTTCATTTCTCAATTTTAAGTATTTAAATGCCAATCATTTTAACAGAAGAGGTGTGAAAGAGGAGTAATTAAGACATGTAGGAACACAGGATTTGGGAATTAAGAGCTACAGTGACTTCTACATGCAAGTAACCTCCAAGATGTGCATTTTCTTCTGTTACCACTAATAAACCAGGTCACGGTGCAGGAGACAGAAAAAGTAACCCACTTTTCCCCTCCTGTCTTGACAAACCAACAAAAAAATTTGTGAAACTTGTCCCAAAAGACATTTGGCAGTAAAATACAATAACAGTCTAACTTAAGCTGACCATGGGGTGTATAGAGACTGCCAAGCCACCATTTTCATTAACTACAGACCAGATACAAATACAGAGAGAAGAGAAAAACAGTAACAAGGTACTTCAAAGTGCTTCTAAAATACCAAAATGTGGCTTAGCTAAAGTGTTCACCTGACATCTGAAAAATGTCTGTATA